TGTACTGTCTCTCCAATCCGGAAAGAGGCGGTTAGAAAAGGGCAACCTCAAAAATCGTACATCCCGACTTTCCCTACGGTGGTCCGTAATAGACAGTAAGTTCACTAATACGGAACCAATCCCAGAAACTAGTTCATACAGGCCGTGTGTGACCGGCCTCCAGCAGTTGTCCCCTGGGCTCTGCGGTCACTCAACACTATTCCTGTTTCAGGCACCCGAAGAATCAATCAACTTTAATAATAATAATGATTTACTTTATTCCAAAAACAGTACTTGTGATACAGAATGGAATTTTCAGCATTTAATCACAATATTGCATCTAATTTCCTCAAATTATAAATAAAATTAATCACACAAATAATCTTCCACATTTACAATAAGGGTAATGTCAGAAACATGCAGCATACAAAATGTAAATAGTAATAATGATAACAGCTAAGGTAATAATAATAATACAAGTGAAAATTGCCGTGGGCTTGTTTCACACAGTATTGTCGTTATATGCGGTATAGAAATCCTAGCATGTTTAAAAATATTGAATGTAATGTTCTCTTTACATGGTATGGTGAGGAGAAAAACAAAGATCACAGCAGTCATAGAGATAAGTTGGTGCTTGCAATTAAGAGAGTAAAACAAAGAAGCAACAGGACCATAAATATAATAGAAATAATCAAAGTAAAACTTGAAGGTTGTATGGAGGATAATGTTCATTTACTAGATGAAAAAAGGTTAGTTAATTGTTGCCTGACACTATTTTCATCACATAAAATACGTTCCAAGTATGGTATCATAGAATTTCTATACTTAGACGTGCGAGCATACAGTTTTCTGAAGTTACTTCTTGTTCTGCCTGAGGAGATGCAAGGTGAAAGCTGAGGGAGGTTAAAGTGGATGCTCCAAGTCAGACAAAATCCCTCTAGCAAATTTATTGCACGAAGTCAGGTGCCTATCGACAACGACGTTAACTATGTGGTCCACTGGGACACCACTCACCCTACTGACCGTCTTCAGCATTCCTTTTTAAGCAAACCAGGAAAAACTGAGGGTGAACAATAAAGAAGAATAGGTAGGATGCAAGAGTTTATGAACTGTAAGAGGAAGGGTTGAGTTATACTCAGATAGACCACGTAGCGATAGGGTATCGTTGGTGAGGGTCAGTAGAAGAATTTCACTCCTTCTGAAACACGTGCGTAGACTCTGATCACACTCTGGTTCGCGCACGTTTATGCTTACGACTAAATAGACATAAGAAATTGACGGCAGCGAAACAGTTACGTCCTCAACTAGATCGAGACACTGAGTCCCTATTTAAGGAAGAAATAACGAAATGAGTATCTGAGTTTGACAGCAGAACTTTCCCTGAGGTAGCCTGGCACAACATACAGTTAGCTGCAGACACAGCGGTAAAAGCTGTTAATAAGCTAAAACCTAAAGTTAGTAAGAGCCATTGGATCTCTACCGCCTCATCCGAACTGATTGACGCAAGACGACTGATTCCGGCGAGCTCCGATTATGATGAGGGGCGAAAGGTACTCAAACGAAAATTAACAAGAAGTCTTCGCAAAGCCCGTGAACAGTGGTCGGCGATAAAAGCGAAAGAGATGGAAAAGGCATCGGAAATTGGTAACACCAGACAACTATTTAGGCTTATCAAGGAAACAGGTGGTAAAAGGCAAATGATAAGTGAAACAATCTCTGATAAAAATGGTACCGTATTTAGCTCCCAGGATAGACGACTGGAACGCTGGAAAGGACACTATGAGGAGCAGTTTGACTGGCCTACAGCCAAGCTCAACCTGCCGAACATCCAACACCTCCCTGAATGAGATATAGACACAGATCCCCCTTCCTTAACTGAGGTAACTAAAGCTGTCACCAATCTGAAACTAGGCAAAGCAGCGGGACCTGATGGAATAACTGCAGAGGTATTTAAGTACGGTGGAGACAGCTTACTGTCTGCATTAACTGAGGTACTAGGCAGCGTCTGGGAATCAGAAGAAGTCCCATCGGGTTGGTGTAAGTCACTGATTATCCCCATATACGAGAAGGGAGACAAGTCTTCCTGTGATAATCACAGAGGGATTAGCTTGACTAATATATCATCTAAAGTCCTAGGCTCAATAATCATGCGTAGACTAAGTGATGCTCGGGAGGCACAAACACGAGAGAGCCAGGCAGGCTTTAGACCAGGAAGAGGGTGTATTGATCATATCTTCACCCTCCGACAGATTCTAAAACATAGGCATTCCTACTAGCATCCAACAGTCATTATATTTCTTGACCTAAAGGCAGCATTCGACTCTGTCGATCGAGAAGTTCTCTGGAGATGCTTGGCTGTAAAGGGAATTCCGAGAAAATATATTGCACTGATTAAGGCACTCTACTCGAACTCATGCCATCAGCCAGGTGAGGGCTTACGGCGAGTTGTCATCTGAACTGGTGACGACCAGTGGTGTCCGTCAAGGATGCCCATTATCCCCTTTTCTATTCAACTTCATCATAGATGTGTTAATGGACTTAATCCTAAGTGACTTCAGCGACTCAGGGATTGACTTGCTACCAGGGAATAATCTCGTTGACTTAGAATATGCAGACGATACAGTCTTTCTAGGCGAGGACGCTGACAAAATACAGTCTTCTGAACACCTTGAGCTGCAATCTACGAATGTTTGGCATGCGATTCGCTCCCGCCAACTGCAAGATGATGTTACAGGACTGGACTATATCGACGCCTAGTTTAAAAATAGGGAGTGAAGTGGTTGATGGAGCACGTTGACCGCTTCACTTATTTGGGAAGTACCATCAGCCTCAACGGGTTGATCTCTGACGAAATCTCAGTACGAATACAGGGGGCTCGTTTCGCATATGCCAATTTACGTCGTCTCTGGCGTAGACGTGATATCCGACTATCGACCAAAGGGCGGGTGTAATTCTCATGAGTCAACTCCGTCCTCCTTTATGGCTGTGAGACCTGGCCATTGACAGTGGAAGACATGAAAAGATTAGCTGTCTTTGATCATAGGTGCCTGAGCTCTATCTCCCGTGTGAAGTAGTATAATAAGGTGAGCAATACTGAGGTTAGGCGTCGAGTGCTTGGTAAGGAGAAGAAATCGATCGTCAAGGCTGTGAAATTACACCGACTGAGATGGTTAGGACATGTGTGACGAATGCCTAGTCATCACTTTACTCTATGGGCAATGTTAACTGACATAGGGTCAGGCTGGAAAAGAGCTAGCGGCGGTTAAACCAAAACATGTTACCAGTCAATGAAATCTACAACAATTAGTTTAAGCCTTTTAGAAAAGTGCAGACTTCTTCGGGACTGTAAAAACCAATGGTTGGAAACAATTGGTGATATGGCTTAAAATCCTTCTCAATGACAGCGCAGATGCACCAACTCCTTGTGACTTACGATTTTCAATGAAACTGTCTTGTTCTTCGTTATTACTATTTCTTTGGCTCACACCTCTGTTTACTGTCCCTAATATGAGTTTCTTCTAACTTCTTCTGTTGCTTTGTGTGCTATATGGAGTGTGGCGACTTGAACTGCTGCACATCGGTACAAAGTTCTATGTCGAAAACCGAGAGAGAAAGATATAACCATCGCTCTACCCCTAAAAATATATACACTCAAAATAACTGACTGACTACATTGTTATTATTACTTATTATCAATATGTCATCATCTTGTTAATAGTGTGATCACCTTGGTTAGTTTATTCATTAGTTCACAGACTTGATTAGGAGTTACCGAAAGGTTTATTCGATTGAATTGGGTTCTCCAGTTTTAGTAATGCGAGTAGTTGGATTAATACTACTTTGTTTGTGTTCTTTGAGTTCTTCTCTGTCTCGGAACATTCTACCTAATTTTGATTTTGACTCTCTGAGTCGAACTCACAAGTAAGTTCCGAAATACACTTAATTGTTTGTTTGTCATAATTTGACTCTACCATTCATTCATAATATGCATAAATTGACTATGTTCTTCGATCTTGTTTTTTGTCTCTAGTCACTCCTTATTTCCAAGAGAAATATTGACTATACTCCCCTCACTTGTCCAATTCTACTGTAAATAGTCAGGCTTTTAACACTGAATAATTTGTCTACTCACATCATCCTCGGAAGTGTGTTGTCTAAACTTTCTATCTATGACTGCAAGTCACCGTGAAAAGTGTGTTCATGCATTTTGTAACTTATAATTTGATTAACTTGAGTGTGTTCGCATTTGAAGAGAATCCAGGAAACTAAGCGAAATCGTATGCCAAGCCATCGCCTCCCTCGACGAGCAATGTTAGCGGATATAGGGTCAGGCTGGAAAAAAGCTAGCGGCGGTCAAACAAAAACTTGGCACCAGTCAATGAAATCGACAACAGTTGGTCTAAGCCAGTCACGTAGGAAGGTGTAGACTTCCAGGCTGGTTGGGGTCCACGGGACGGTAAAAATCTATGGTTGGAAACAATTGGTGACATGGATCAAAATCGTTCTCAGTGGCGCAGATGCATCCACTCCCTGTGACTTATGATATTCAATGAAACTGTTTTGTATTTCTTTATTACTCCTTTGTCTCACACCTCTGCTCACTGTTTCGATTATGCTTTTCTTGTACTTTCTTCTCTTGCTTCGCGTGCTACACGGAATGTGGCGACTTGAACTTCCGCACATTTGTGCAAAGTTCTATGTCGAAAACAGACAGACAGACAGAAGCGAATCCGTATTATCCTGCAAATGTGTTCGTTATTTATCTGTTAAAGCCAATTATGAGAAGTGACTGTAAGACAGGACTAAGTTATAATGCGAGGAAAACTACAGTCACAGGTGAATATTCCGGTCACGTCACCTCTAATATGACTATAACATTCTACACACACCGCCATTATTGAACATTGTAGGGAGAAGTCAAAGTGATGTGAAAATATCATTATTATTGTTATTGTTAGTATTATTTTTACAATTATCACTGCTGATATTATTATTATGACTACATATCAGTACTAAAGTCTAATCAAGTGAAAGAGAAAAGAAGAGTCACGTTGTCTTCAAATGATTCGTGAAGACAGTCGAATACTTATGTACATCTGACATGGATTACGGTAGTAAATGTCCTGTCAGTGAGTGGTATTCATCCTTCAGGGACAGAAGAAAGAATGCAAAAATGATGAATGAATGAATAGTTTAAACAAAACCGAGGACGATACTGAAGGAATGAAAAACGCTTCATAAAGTGAATCAACCACTAATTTTCGACATTTTCAGTCCCAAATGACTGAATTACTCGAATCGATTGTACTCCAGTTGATACGCTGGATCATACATGTCCTTCATGCATTCAAACGTGGGCAAGACGTGTATTAAGCACCTCAGTTAAAAGCATCATACCAATTAACCACCACAACAATCAGTCTGGAAGAATCCGAAGCTTCCCATCTAACTATAATACCGATTCTCGAAATTTTTACTACACAATGTTTAGTTATTCATTAGATGTGAACATCTCACCTACTTGTCTCTAAACACCAACACAACATTATTCAATAGGACATGAGATGTGTTGAAAGAGACTACACGATAAGTAGACTGATCTTCGCCAAAAGGATAGTGTGGATTGATTCTGGTACATAAACTCACCCTCATACTCGCCTTAACTTTCTCATAGATTGATCTGGTTTCTATAAAGAGAAGATGGAGTTTGTAGTCAAAAAAGGTTCACTTGATATGTATACTTAAACAGGCGCATGTGAGAAAACAGATAAAATGTTGTAAGTCCATCGTTTCTAATCATCGAGACAAGTATCCGCATAGTACTCGAAAAATCTGAGTGTGAGATGCTAACTCACCTCCGACTCAACCTTTACGACATACTAGACTGTTGGAAGCGCCTTGCAAAATACTCGACTCCAAATTTTTCAACTTACCATAAGCTATCACTGACAGGTGTTGCAAATGACTGAGATTTATTACCCGTTGAGTCAATTGGTTTATTTCTGGAAAGGAAGGCAAAGTGCAAGCACATATCATGGATAGGCATTTATTTATTTATTATTTTTGATTACAGCTTGATTCCACACCGTATTTTTGGTACAAGTATGGAATTTTCAGCATGGTGATTTGTGGACAAATGAGGATGGGAAGAAGCATTGCTTATTCGGAACACAGGAATATTGAGAGAAACAGTGTTCACTTCTCAATTCAACCCCACTCAGGAGACTGAATATATATATATATGTCACAGCTTTCCCAGTAGACGGTGGACGGTATTCAATATCTCGCATCGTTACCTACATATTAAAGATCAATCAAATAGTCAGAGACAATTAGCGACAAGAAACCCGAGGAACAAACCAACCACCCAAGAACCTACTGATCAACAAATACGCTGGAGGAAATGGAGATGCATCAGACAAACGTTGAGGAGGCCATCGGTTTACATCGCTCACCAGGCCATCTCTCGGACAGGACATGAGTGGACATCGACGAGTAGGGAGTGCCCCTGAGGGTAGTGACATTGAGTAGGTCATGTTGAGGGCTGATGAGAACCATAAGCAATCTTGAGGCCAGCTGAAAAGGACCACCGAGAATAGGAAGAAGTGGAGATGTGGAGCGGCTGAAGCCCTATGTCCCACTTGAAACTCAAGGGAACAATAATATTAGCAGTAATACAATCCTAGAAATACGGTCAGTGGAAAGTTCTCTGAAAGAAGAATTATCAGGGTATTTATAAGTAAGTAGACAAACTGGTCGAAGAAGCAGCCAGAGAAGACAGGACTCCAAGTGAACATAGACAAGACGGAGGTGATGAAAATAACCAACCATAACCACCACCAACAACAGCAACAACATCCAGCGTCAATCACCATCAACGGGAGGGATTTGAAAGAGGTTACTTCATTCACTTATCTAGGGAGCATTGTCTCAACTACAGGCAGTCAGAACGGACGAGGATGTCAAATCGAGCGAGAATCGGGAAGGCGAGAAACACATTCATCAACCTGAAATCAATCTGGAAATCTTCGTCACTCAGCCAACATCAACAACAAAATCCAGTCGGATTTTCAATACAAACGTCAAATCAGTCAGTTCTTCTATACGGATCAGGAACTTGGCGGGCGGGTCACAAAGAATATTTCCAACAGTCTGTTGCAGACCTTTATTAACAACTGTCTTCGCTGGATCTATACTGAAGATCAGATGGCCGGGCCGGAGAGAATCACCAACAAGGAACTATGGGAACAAACAAAACAAGAAACAATCGCCCAACAAATATGCAGGAGAAAGTAGATGGAGATGGATCGGACACTCGCTGAGGAGACCGCTGGGTGACTCGCGCGTCAAGCCCTCGAGTGGAACCTGAAAGGGAGGCGGCGAGTGGGACGTCCAAGGGTGATATGAAGGAGATGGTGTGAATAGGAGTTGAAAGAGTATGGACTAAAATGGATGCAGGTGAAAAGTACAGCAGAAACAGAAGCAAGTGGAGACGTGCATCACCGTAGGAACCCAAGGGAGCAATAATAATAATAAGACCTTCACTTCGTAGTGAGTAGCTTCACCGTTTACGATAAACGTAGTATGACAGTCACTGTCAATTGTTATTTAGCCGAATAATTTGACAAACATCTGTCTGTGAAATAGGAAGGATAAAAGTTGTGGAACATTCTTCCACAAAGCAATGACATGTTTCGAATTACCTTCAGTGCGACTAACCGACAGAAGACTATCACATTCACTTAAATCCGGCTGTTGTCCGATACCTATTCAAGAAGAAAGAATAATATTGACGGTATTTCGTCGGCTACAATGAACATGGTGTGTTCAGTATTACTGATCACCAGTATTCTGTGATTTGACTTACGGCTTGGACCGGCTGAAATACACAGACGTCAACACATACAAACATATTACTCGTTTATCATGACATCGGAAATAATATGTACGTGTAGGTTGTGAATTCCGCCAACCTGTTGTTGGAGTTAAAGTGATTCTTGGTGGAGAAACAATGACTGAAAGATGTTAAGAGAGAGAAACCTGAAGTTTCGAATCTTCATAGGAATTGACCATGAGTCCATGAGCTGCTCGTCCTCGGATTAGGCGGTATGCACATTGTTGCCGACTAGTTTTCATTTGCTCCCAATTCACCTCTGAACACTGTGAGCGGCTGGGCATCAGCTATTCAAAACGATGTCCTCATTCACAAAACGATTTTAGTGAGTAGCATCGGAGAGTAATCACCCGTTTGGTTTTGACAGTCTCACAAACAAACCAAGTCCCAACACATTGACCCTAGTTCACAAAATGACAACAGACGTATACAAAATCACTACTGGATGTCAATTATTGTGCAGTGACTGACAAATTCATTCAAATATCCAACAGATAAACACATCTGTCTTCCAGTCACACACCTGCGCTATCAACGATAACTAAGTTAGCATTTAAATACGTTGACTTGGTCAGAAGAATGAAAACCGTAAGCAGAAGTGAAACTAATCTGCCCAACCAATAATATCAGCGCTTACATTCAGATCCATGGATTAACGATTCCTCCAGAGAGTTCTACTCTGAGGTATGGAGAAGAAATTCCCTGAATAAAATGCAAAAAGGACAGAATATTTATCGACCAGTAGTTTAAAAATCACGTGTCACACTGGTCGAATGGCACAAATTCAATGGATAATTTCATGTTTGTCTCCCCATCTGGGAAATATTAGTGGCCTATAGGTCAGGCTTTTCAGCGAGTAAATCAACTGAGTCCGTTTCGTCAACATCTTTCGCCATTACGTATCATTGAGCAGAGATTGGATGAAATGCTAGATACGCTTGTAGTCTCCTATACTGGTTGTATCCAAGTGACTGAAAGTGAAATGTGGGATGAGCATCTTAAGCAGCTGAAAGCAGTCTGCCACACTCACACTCATCTTTCAACAGCAGCAGTGTGACACAACTCAATTTCATTCACAAATCAGCCTCGACACTTCGCCGATTGAAATGCAAAGCGAACAAGATCAAACAGAATGTGGTATGAATTATGAGAGCGTACTTACCGTATGCCTGCCGCACCCTATAGATGCTCCGTGAAATGCCTGAGGAAATAAATCAATACGTGACAAATTCGCGATAGACAACAATTGGGATAATAAAAGGCGATTAATTCTTAACCATGAGATACCCAAGTTGAATAGGTAGCACTATTCAGACACATTGTTTAAACAACTGAACGTCAGCCTTCACATGTCTGTGTGATATTCAGTAGTGGCGTTAATTCAAAGTCTATTTAACGAGAGATTTCAATAGTCTAGTAAATTTTTTTGCAGGTTAAAGATGAACAACAAACATTTCACGTACTTCTGTAAATATCCGGTTGGTAGTAGTGTTGAGAAATATTGGATAGACAATTCGCAACTAAAAGAACGATTATTTCTCAATATTGATTAAATTTGTTGACTTACACGCAGTGATACTTTTACCCGTTTCTCTGGCCTGTCTTTCCAAGCGGGCTGGAGTGAGAAAGAGACAAACAGTTTGTTGCAAGACACTGGAGACAGTGTTGTCAATATTGCTCGTTTCTGAACTATTGAAATAAAAGCTGATGAATAAACGGACGGTAGTGTGGCATCACCAGTTCTCTGTCTCCAATGATACCTAGATATTGATGTTTACACACATTTGAACAGCATTTGACAATTGTTTACTGCATGTTCATGCACAAAGTATTTAACATCCTCCAGCGACTAGTAATGCGAAACCACACATTGACTTCAAAACACAAAATCTATGTACGAAACACTGCGAAACTGATATTAGTTATATTGTGACTATCATCGAATTACTGGTTGTAAATCTACATCACACCACTGACATCCTTAGTAGGGAGGGTAAATAGAGGCTGTGAACACTCCACGTTTGTTGAAGGATTATGACAGGGGAGGAAGAGAGGGTTACGTGTGGAGCTTAGTTATCTTGTAGTTGCAAGTGATACCATTGTGATTAATAAACATCACTAGAAACATCATCCAGGGAATAAACCTCTTTCACTCTGTCATATGTCCAACAATCACATTAATTTTCAACTGTACACTACCACTAACACAGAGTTGAAGTAACACGCATACTATTGAGTCGAAGCATCACCGACACAACAAATTAAGAAATAACATACAAAATTTCACATGGTAAGTAAAATCAGGCTTGTAAAAGCACCTTCCAATGTGTTCACTTCTTCTTCCACAGTGGCTTTCCGATTATTGACATCCACTATACTGTCTGTAAAACAATTGCAAATGTTCCACAAATGAATTATTAATGACTATAGAAATCATGGTTAATGTCAAAACTGATCATCAGTCACGCTGAATTCGTCTACATTCACAAAGGGTTTCAGTGTTACACGCTGAATATGCTTCCATCAATCAACTCAAACGCAGATAATTGCAAATTCGGAGAGAATACGATAAATCATTCAACAAATAAAAATGAAAATGAACGTAGACTCTATTACTTCATCAAATGTTAGGCGAATGTATGAAATATTGAAGAACATTGAATAGAATTTGCTTACTTTCAAACATGCTGATGATAATTTCTAAATCGTGTATCTCTCGAGCAAGACGATTCGCATCTTCAAAACAAGAAGGCTAAGCGTCAATTCATTGCATTAAGCTCGATCGAATGTTATGACTTGTTCAATTTCAAGTATGAGTGACATAGAGAAAATGTGTGCTGGCATGTTTCCCATTTTATGAGACTGAACAATACTGGTTGATATGTTCAATGAGTGGCGTATTGAAGAGAATATCCCAGTCGAGAATACGGAACGATACTGCTTGACATATCCTCTCACTCACTCCAGAAGAAGTAACTTTTGTCCTGCTCGAGAATCCTAGTTCTCAAACCGAATTCAGGGGTTAACTGCCACAGATAGAAACTGACTAGCTTCTCACCACAACCAAGTACCCAAAGTGAATACATTGAGGATTCATTTTTAACTCTTAGGAAATAGGTGTGAGTATATATCTATATATCCACAGCGTGCTGAATAAAATAGATCAACGCTTTAAAAGGAAATAAAAAGACTTTTATAAAAAACATACAAGAAATCA